TGTGTCTATGTGTGTGCATGTATCTGTGGGTGTGTGTATGTGTACATATGAGTGTGTGTGTGCATGTGTGTATGTATACACATGTATGTGTGTGCATGTGTATCTATGTGTGCGCATGCATCTGTGGGTATGTGTTCATGTGCGTGCGTGCGTGCGTGTGTGTGTGCGTGCATGTGTGTGTGTGTGTGTGTGTGTGTGTGTGTTGGCAGCACTGCTCTGCTGTTCAGTGGCCTCCACACCCTTGTAGGTTGGAATGATGACACCATTTTGGAGATGCTTGATGAAGGTTAGAGAAATGTGTCACTTACCGATGGTCACACAGCAGAGGCTGAGCTTGGCCTAAGATTGTCCCATTTCCAAGTTCCCAAGGAAATGGACAGGATATAAAGACTTTGCGCCTGGGGCTCCTTTAGAGGATTTGGGGTCAATGCATGTCAGTTAGTGCCTGCCTAGCATGCATGAGGCCCTGAGTTCGATTCCTAGCACCACATAAACCCAGGGTGGTGGCACATGCCTGCAATTCTGGTTCTTGGGAGGTTAGATCAGAAATTCATGGTCATCTTCCTCTGCATGGCAAACCTGAGAGCAACCTGTGCTCCATGAGACACTGGATCAAGGAGTAGGAGGGGGAGATGGGAGGGGAAAGAGGAGGAGGAAGGAAAAATCTAGACAAGGGGTCATTTGCCCCTCTCCCCTTGCCACCCCGTCAAAGCCACCACTCTGAAAATCGTGTTCTTCCAGCGACCGATTGAAATCCAAGACTCTTCACCGCCTGTAGCCCTAGTTACTTGCAAACAGGAGTGGGTATGTTTTCTGTGATGTAGAGGGGCCAGGTGCTGTTGTGCAGAGCCAGGGGCACCCTCACCTTACTCAACTGTCAACAGATGGTTAGCTGTTCTGTTGACAACCCAAACATGGCTCTTGTCTTGGCAGCTAGCTGGCACTAGCGTCACAGCTGGCCTCATGTGTCCACACCCCACTGTGAGCACCAGGGAACTGAGACGGAGTGCCAGGGGTTCCTGTGCTCAGGGTAAGTCCCTCCCAAATGCACTAACCCTAACTGCCCGTGCCCCACCCCTAAGGTCTTCCCCCTACGTCCTGAGTGCCTGAGGAGCAGAGGCAGCTGTCCTGTCAGAACAGGTCTGAAGCCAGTGCAGACGGGCAACCCAACTCCTTCCTTGACTGGAGCCTTACTCACTTCTGTCCTGTGAGCCCTGCAGCTCGGGCCTGCCTGTCTTTCATTCATCCAAGTCTCCCAGGTTTAAACATCGCCCAGGAGGCTTCTGTAAACGGATTCCTACTCTGGCCTTCAGGCTGGCTGTGCAGAGAGCTGAGGAGAAAGAATTCCTGGCCCTCAGAACCCCACATCAGAGTCACCTTATTGACTGATTGATTATATTATTAAATCACCAGGTTTATTTTGGGTCAGAGAGATGGTTCAGCAGTTAAGAGCACTTGTTCTTGCAGAGGACCCCGGTTCGATTCCCAACCCCCACATGGGTAATTCACAATCATCTGTAATTCCAGTACCAGGGGATCCAACAGCCTCTTCTGGCCTCCATGGACACAGAGCATTCGCGTGGTACACATGTATACATGTAGACAAAACACACAAAAAAATTAAAAGATGACTAAATCAATAAAAATGCAAAAGTTTTATTTCATTTTTAATCATGAGTCTATGTGTGGGTGTATAAGTGAACTGCCCACAGAGGTCAGAAGCAGGCGTAGCAGCCCCTGGAGCTAAAGTTATAGGTGGTTATAAGCTACCTACTGTGGGTGCTGGGAACCAAACTTAGGTCCTCTGCAAAAGCGTTATGCTGAGTCATCACTCCAGCTCCTCCAGACCAGTGTGCTGAGCCACACCTGTGTTTGTGAAAATGCTCTCAGGGAGGGAAGATACCCCAAATTTAAGAGACTAGACCAGATGCCCCAAATTCAAGAGACTGGACTGATGGGGGAAGTCCTTCTGTGTATATGGTGTCCTATTGGTTGATAAATAAAACACTGTTGGCCAATAGGGAAGCAAGATAGGTGAGACTGGGAGTCAAGGAGGATTCTGGGAAATGTAGTCACGAGTAGAGAGTCGCTGTGTGATCCCAGGAGGAGAGGCGCAAGTATGGCGTTGTCAGTAAGATAAGACCTTATAAAAATATATATTGTAATCGTGTGTTAATAATTAAGTAAGAGCTAGCCAATAAAAACCATAGCAAATGGCCAACAGCTTCATAATTAATATAGCGTCCTGCATGTTCATTTGGGACTGATGTGGCTCTGGGACCAGGCTGGCTGGAAAATGCACATTACACTGGACCATCATCTTTTTTGGAGTTCTTAGCTTTTTGTTGGGCGGGGGGTGGTTTGAGACAGGGTTTCTCTGTGTAACCTTGGCCATCCTGGCACTCACTCTGTAGACCAAGCTGGCCTCAAACTCACAGAGATCCGCCTGCCTCTGCCTCCTGAGTCCTGGGATTAAAGGTGTGGGCCACCACAGCTTAGTCTGACTTCTAAAAGAAATATGCTTCATTATTCCGTGTATATAAGTGGTCCCCCAGCTGTGTGTGTGCACTGCATGCAAGCCTGGTGCTCCCAGAAGAGGGGATCGGATCCCCTGGACCTGGGCTTCAGAGGGCTGTGAGCCACACCTGTGGCTGGATTTGAACACGTGTCCTCTGGAAGAGCAGCCAGTGCTCTTAACGCCTGTGCACTCAGATCACCCTCGCCCACCCTGTAACCCACTCTCATCTCATCCCCTCTTCATCACTCTCTCCCTCCTAACTCACCACCGCCTATCCAAATGTCCCTCTTCCCCCAGGCCCCAAGCAGACAGCCACAGCTGCTGAGTGCTGGCATTTGCAAGGTCACACACCATATGCAGGTGACAGTGCCCCCCCCACGCCTCCCTCCCCACCCTTCCACTCCTACCGCCCCTCCGTCCCTCTTCCTGTGATGTCCCCTGGGATTTGGAGAGGCCTTTGGGGGCCATTGTTTTGTTTTGTTTTGTTTTCCAAACAGGATCTCAGAAATAATGACCTCCAACTTCCTATGAAGCTGAGTCTGGCCTTGAACTCCTGACCCTCCTGGGGTGACAGGCATGTGCCACCACATCCAACGAGGAACTGGATTCCTGTCTCTGTGATCTGATGAGAGGCATGCCTGGAGTCAGAGAATGACCTCCACGACCTTTTGAGGTCCTGCCTGGCCACTGAAGCCAGAGGATTCAGTATTTATATGGATGACTCCTCAGGGATGTGGGGGAAAGGAGGGGGGGAGGTGGGCGGGTGTGGGGGAGTGAAGGGAGCTGACACCCAGCAGCAGTGACTCAGGCCCTCAGCACCGTGACGGTGACAGCACATCTGCTTTTAGCTGTTGGCTCTTGTTTCCCTGGCAGGCTGCTCTGGGGGGGGCTCCCCACCTGACCCCACCTCTTTTCATCTCTACTCAGTACTGGTGACTCTCTGAAGCCCTGCCAGCTACACATCACCCAGGACAGGCACACAGAGGGCCCCGGTTCGGTTCCCAGCCCCCACATGAATAATTCACAACTCTAGTTCCAGGGGGTGTCTGGGGGTGGCAGATCCCCTTAGCCCCAGCCGTCACTCTGACCCCCAGCTCTGCCTTGCCCTGTCTTGATGTCCTATACCACCAAGGATGCAGGTCCAGGCTTGGCTCTGTGGACATAGAAACAAGAGGCACACCTCACCTTCAGGGACTCCTGTGTTAATCGGGGAGAGACAGGTGATCCTGCCCCAGGAGTGAGGATGAGGGTACCAAGAGAGAGTCAGAACTCACAGACTATGTCACACTGCCAGGTACTGGGGACTCGGGCCAGAAGGAGCCCGTGTAGGCTGGAGCAACCATAGATTTCCACGGGGGACAGGAATGGGGAGATTATATGGAGAGAAAGCAGAAGATTTGTGTTCGAAAACTGCTTGATGGCTGGGCGTTGGTGGCGCACACCTTTAATCCCAGCACTCGGGAGGCAGAGGCAGGCGGATCTCTGTGAGTTCGAGGCCAGCCTGGTCTACAAAGCAAGTTCCAGGACAGCTTCCAAGACAATACAGAGAAACCCTGTCTTGAAAAAAGCCAAAAGAAAAAAGAAAAAAAAAAAAGAAAACTGCTTGATGGACCGATTGGCCACCTGGCTTCTGGCTTCTGCCCAGCGTCAGAGAGTCTGGGGTCCTACTCAGTAGTCAGGGACTTCTTGGACACAAGGGTCAGGAACATCTGGAATGGAGGCTCTACTTCCTGGTTGAGAAACTGACCTAAAAGACCCTCTTTTTGAGCCGTGGAAGATCAAAAAGGGCTTTGGTAGTAGGGAACAGCAGCCCAGGGATACCCTGAGGTCCCAGTGTTCTCTTTTACCTGGATAGGAAATCATGTGACTACCACGATCCTGGGCAGGCAACTCCCCTGAGTCTGAGGTGTAGGGACTATTGCCAGCAATTTAGCCCCCTAGACCTTTAGGGATAATTATCGAATTACCTGCCCCTTCCCTGAAGCTGGGCCCAACCCTCTCTCCCCCATCCCCACCCCACCAGCTGCCAGCCTTCTGCTATTCTGCCACTACTGGTTCTGAGAGCAAGGATGGGAGGGAGGGGGGTAGATTCGAGTCCCCATGGGAGTTGACAGGGGTCATCTATGTGTTCTAGGCCCCCTCCCTGGGCTGTCTCAACCTTTCTGAGGAGATAGCTGGACCTGGAACGGCGAGCATCCCACAAAGAGTCGGGCAGAGCTCTTGCACACACCCTCTCCTCTGGAGTCTGATAAGGGAGGCACAGGCCCTGAGAACCAGTCTGAGAGGAGAGTCAGGTCCCTGGCTAGGGAGGGAAACAGCAAACTACAAAGTCCCGGGGCAGGCACAGGGCAGGACCCACCCCCTGCCCTGGCCACTACAGAGGCCCTTGGGGCTGGAGCTCTGGGCTTGGAGTACCAGGCGATGAGCTCAGCCCTCCAACCCAGCCCTCGTGTGTCAGGCTGTCAGCAGGGCCGTTTCTACCAAGAAGATTTCCAGGCCCCTCTGGGCCATGAAGAGGCCTAAATTTAGCCAACAGACAAGGGGCTGGCCTCGGGCCCAGGGGCAGTCGGGCCTTATAAAGCACTGGCAGTCGTGGCCCCAGCACGCTTCCCTGGAGGTCTGCACCCACACGTTTCTCAGTTCAGCCCCTGCCTGGACAGGGTCCCTGCCGCCTGCGAATGAGCCACCGGACCTCCTCTGCCTTCAGAGCGGAGAGAAGCTTTCACTCCTCCTCCTCCTCCTCTTCGGCTTCCCGGGCCCTCCCAGCTCAGGACCCGCCCATGGAGAAGGCTTTGAGCATGTTTTCAGAGGATTTTGGCAGCTTCATGCGGCCCCACTCTGAGCCCCTGGCCTTCCCAGGCAAGTGCTGGGGTTCTGAGGGGAGGGGAGAGACACAGGTAGGAGCGTCTACTCCAGGGCATCTCTGAGCAGGCTGTGGCCACCCACCCGCCGGGAATAGGTGCTGGATGGGTTCCAGGCACCTGTGGCTGCCAAGACAGACCTGGCCACCAAGACAGATATGGCTATGATGCAGGTGGACCTCCTGGGGACCATGGTGACCTTAGGGTGAGATGTGAATCTAGTAGTCCCACATAGCCCACGTCCTAAAGGGAACCGTAGAGGGCTGGCTGGGATTGAGGGGTGTCTGGTCCCTCAGAGCTTCCAGGCCTTGGATAAAGGAGGGATTTGCATGTATAGTTACAGATTAAATAGAGTGAGACTCGCCCCCCACCCCGACTCCCCTCATGGTAAGCTGAAAGATGACAAGGGGGGCTGTCTAGGGGAACCACTCATTTCCCCAAGAGAAGAGCGGAGACCCAGGCTTTCAGGCTCAGGGCTTTCTCGGTACCCAGCTTATAGCAGTTCTGCCCACAGCCCGACCTGGGGGACAAGGCAACATCAAAACCCTCGGGGATACCTACGAGTTTACAGTGGACATGAGAGACTTTTCCCCTGAAGATATTATTGTCACCACCTCCAACAACCACATCGAGGTGCGGGCTGAGAAGGTGAGTCTTAACCCTGCCCCACCCCAGGGTCCCCACCTTCCCCTGAACTCTGCCTGGTCTAGCTGGTTCTGTGTCCCCTAGTTTCACCTGTCTTATTCTGACTAGTGTTCCCTTGCCTGTCTGCACTCCCCCAGGACAAACTGCAGCCGGTTTCCTGTGGGCTCACAGGCCAGGGACCTTCACGGCCCTCTCCAACCTAAGGTTCAAAGAACCTGTCTTCTGGAGCCCGAGTCATGGCACCTGGGGATCCTTCAGGGATGAGAGAGGGATCTTGGGGTGTGGGCCGAAGGGAACCCGAGTGGTTGGGACTTGAGAGGGTGAGGAGAGAAGGAGAGTGACCATGGGAGTTAGGACGGCTCCTCGGCAGAAGCTAGAAGAAGGTGACAGAGGCTGATCCGACTTGGGCAGCACCGTCCACTCATGCCACCCCTCCACCCCTCTTTCATCCCAGAGCCAGAAGCGTGGGTCCTGTTTTGGCACCTCCGCACTGGGCCTGAGGCTGAGCAGAAGCCACGGAGCTCAGAGTCACACCCACCCTGAACCCCACGTACCTTACTTAGCCAGAGTCTCAGGGTAGCTAGATCATCAGGGAAGACACGGCCAGCCCAGACAGTGGCTGCTGCAGTCCTTAGGACCATGCTGATTCTTAGAGGACATTTGCCAAGGCCTCCCTGACCGCCCCCCAAGCCTGGCTAGCTCCCCTAATTAGGGCCGGATACTAGGAAGCCCCGCCAGGGGTTCGAGGACTGTGGGCCACTGGTTGCACATGCCAGCCCCATGTCCCAAGGGTGACTCAGCCAGTCGGCTCCGATGGACACTATGTGCTAGTTGGACTGCGGGGGAGGGCGGTGGCCCTGGTGGTGGACACTAGGGTGTCTGGGGATCCAGAGGGCACAGCTGTGTCATCTCCCCACCATGGCTCAAGACTTCCCGCTACTCCTATGCAAGCTCAACCCTTATGGAGCCCCCACCTCACCCACCCTACACCCAGCTCCCCTTGGGACTTCCGGAGCCCCTCTGCAGAGCCCTTGGCTCCTGGCCACCCCACACCCCTGGCCAGCTCTTCCACACCTGATAGTAGTGGCGTAACTGGGGGCCGACAGCAAAGCAGAGATTCTGGCTTGGTTTGGGCATGACCAGGACCCAGGATGGGGCGAGGGCTGGGACAGCCCCTCCTGACCTGTCACTCCTTCCCCAGCTGGCGGCTGACGGCACGGTCATGAACACCTTTGCTCACAAGTGCCAACTGCCAGATGATGTGGACCCCACGTCGGTGACCTCGGCCCTTCGAGAGGATGGCAGCCTCACCATCCGGGCACGGCGCCACCCACCCACAGAACACGTCCAGCAGACCTTCAGGACGGAGATAAAGATCTGAGGGTCTCCCAACCCCTGCCCTCCCCCCATCTCCTCAACTGGCCTGCTGGTGAGGTCATCCTGACCCCTGACGATGACCCCCAGAACATCTCAGCCCAGGCCCGGTCACTCCACACACTCTTAGGCCCCAGGTGGGTCACCCCCCTAAAACTAGGGCCCTCCTCTCCACCCATGGCAGACCCAAGACCCTCTTGTCCTCACCCAGATAGGACCTCCCTGTCTTAGTTCACAATGGAGGGGTTAAAGTATGAACTTGGGGAGAAAGATGGGGGCCCAGCAAATGATCAATGGGCAGAGAGACATCTCTGCAGGGCAGGGGACCATGGACCCTCCTGGCAAGTGGAATATAGGAGTTGGTCACAAGCAGTGCTGCTGGCCCGGGTGGACTACCCCAGGCAAGCCAGATAGCCATGGCTGTCCACTCCCAGGGCTGCAACTTTCTAAGTCCCCAACCCAGGGCTGCCTGTCAGCTACTTGTGCTAGGCAAGGACACCTGTACCCAGGTGGGGTTTATTAAAATGGCATGAGGCTCCTGTCTCCAGCTGCTGGTGCGCTAGGCCACACTGGGTCCCTAGGCTCCTGGGTGGCTCCCCCTGCAGAGAGGGTCCCCTTCGGAAGTGAGAGCAAGAGCTAACGTATGAATCTACCCACACAAACACCGCCATTGTCCTGTCCCTTCAACACTCATTCCCATTGGTTGAAGCCCAATTCAAAAATGTTCTAGAATCAGATTTGGCATCTATTTTCCTCAATGGGGACGTCTCTGAGCCAGTGGGACGCTCGCTTTTGTGGCTGAAGGTTGGCTCTGAGCATAGCAATGCCTGGCTGCTCTCAGCCTCTCAACTCTGGGTGCTGGGAGAATTCCCCTGACTCCAACTCCCTAGAGTCACATGCCCTGCATCTCCTGCACAGGGTGGCCACAGGAAGAGCCCCAACCCAGACCCCTTCTGCCCTCCAAGTCCAGGGCAAAGACCCTGGGAGGCCAGGGCTCTGACCCCGGCTCTCACTCTGTCTCCCACGGTCGAAGCAGGTGTGAGAGGGGGAAGTTCTCCATTAGTTGGGGTCCCCGGGCCCTCTGACTCCTGCTGTCTCAGGACTCTGGGGACAGGGAGGGTGGGCATTTATGGGAGTCTGGTCTCTAGACCCTATACACAATAAAAGGACAACATGACAGACTTGTGGAGACCCCACCTGGAGTTCTACCTGGGAGGAGGGGCTGGGTGGGTGGGGAGGACATCTGGACTTGGGGAAGGAGCCTAAGGCTTGAAATGGAAACTCTGCCCTCCCATCTCCCCAGACCTGCCTGAGGAAATCCGTGGTTATTCTACACAGCAGCTCATAGCACCCTGTCTCCTGGCTGCCCGCCCTTTGTATTCATTCTTTCCTTCAAGAGGAATGTCTGACCTGGACTCGGTACCAGCACTGTGTTCCACGCTGTCCCAAGCCAAGGGCCACAATGTCCCTTCTTGAAGTCTTTCTTCTCGATGGGGCCTCTGAGGCCCAGAGAAGCTAAGTGATTGGCCTAAGGTCACACAGCTCCGAAGACACAGTCACCTGGGGTAGGGTCAACCGCAGGGTGAGGGGCTAGATGGCCACCTCCTGGAGTCTTGGTGGTGGGGTTCTCCTCTCTCCTCATACACCCCAGGAGCTACTGAAATCAGTCGCCGCCGACTGCTCCCCAGAGCCGCTCCGCTGGCCACTGCGATCGGTCGGAGCTGGGAGGGGAGGTGTGGGTGCAGTATTTCCAGCCTTGTGAGTCACAGATTCCGCTGGGCTATTTGCAGCCCCAACACTCATCGGCGCGGGGCTGGGGCGGGGGGCGGGGCTGACAACCTTCCCCATTCGCCCCCCACCCGAGGTCAGGTTCACCTTGGCGAAAAGACCACGGCAGCGAGCGGGAGAGCCAGCGCTGGAAGGGGGACTGTCTCCAGCGGTGGGTGGGGTGGGGTGTGTGTCTACCATCACAGGTCGCCGCCCCTGCACAGGCAGCTTCCTGCCGCTGGAAACCAGGTTCTTCTGGTCTAAGGGAGCCCTGGGCTGTCACTCCAGCCAAGGTGACCCTGCTGACCGGGAGGGCGGGGAATGTGGGGGCGGCCATCCAGGAGTCTCTCCTCGGCTCCGCCTGCTGGGGCACCAGGCTGGCCCGCCCTTTCTAGACTAAATATAGGCCTGGCTGCAGGCCCTCCACCCCTCCCCCACTGGTGGAGTTTAATTCTGGGAACCCCATTCATTGAGTGCCCAGCATGTGCCAGGCACCCCAACAATCCTGTGACTACGATGCTATTATCGCCTCACACAGATGGATGTGGAGGTTCAGAGGGGTCAAGCAAGTGATCCAAAGTTGTCCAGCTCGGACGTGCCATTGCTGGGATCTGACTGAGTATGTGCCTGGGGTTCAGGAAAACCCTCTGCTGAGTCTGCCCGGGTGAACACGCTCCAGCTCTGGGGGCAGACGTGGAAGCCCCTACTTCTGCAGAGTGGAGAGGAGGAGTCCTACACCTTGTAACTTTGAGGAAAGACCTGTCGTATACCAGCCAGGAAATGTTGAAAAGATGTAGCCCTCAGAGGAGCCAAGCCAGGTGCTGCCCCAGGGATCAGGTTGAGAGAGTACCACAAGGCGCCCAGCTTCCAAAGGCTCCGTCCTTCCCCAGCCACACCGACCCATTAAGTTTAGTCTCAAGATCGGAGTCCTAGCTGTGGCTTGATAAAGTGCCTGCCTAGCAAAGTCTGGAGTCTGGGGGCCGGCGGTGCATGTCTGAAATCCCAGCACTCTGGGATCCATTGCAGGTGGATCAGACATTCAAGGTTCTCCTTGGCTGCATGGTCTTAGGCTGGCCTTGACCTACAGTAGAGCCTGTCTAAAACAAAACAACAACAGCAAAAGTAGGGTCCCAAGCCTGAGGCGTGTGCATCCCCTTCAAGACTGTCTGCAGGGGGTTTCCACCATGCAAATAGCACATGCCTAGTGCTGGCCCCTCCAGCTTGGCCACGCTGGGATTCGGTCCAACGATGGTGAGGTCCAGGCTCAGAGAGGGCTGGCCCTCACCCAGAGTCACTTACTAACAGTGTTCAAAAGTTCCCACCGTAGTCCAGCTCTCCTCTCCCAGACCAGCACCCTTGGGTGCTCTCTGCTTGAGCCCCGGTCTGTCCCTCTTGCTCCCAGACCCGGCACGGAAAAGATCAAAGATCAGTAACGAGGGGAGGGTCCCTCATGGGCTCTGGGAGTCAGACCACCTAAGGGCCAAATCTGGCCTCCTCTGTCCCCGAGCCGTGTGCCATTGCGCACACGCATTAAGTCGATGTGCCTCCTGTAACCACACTGTTCCAGGCTCAGAAGGGCTTGTACTTGGGCTGGTCCTCCCCTCCAGGTTAAAGCAGCTGAGGGGTGGAGCTTAACCCCTGCACTGCACTCCCCCGCCCCACTCCTGCAGCACCTCTGAGAAGACGCGTTGCAAGCCCTAGGGTGGAGGCAGGGAGCCTCTGGAAGCCTTAGCTCTCTCTTGAGCAGAAAGCAGGTGCTTATCTGGGGCCTTCCGTGAGCTAGAAACCATTTAGAGCATGCAAGAATGGGTCTGTTTGCCCCAACAGAGAATTGAAAGGTAGGAAAAGTTTGAAAGTCAAGCAAAGTCAGGGTCTATGCATAGAGGATAATTTTATTAGAGTTGAAAAGAAAAACCCCAGGGCAGGCAGCTGCCAATCTCACCAGGAGGAGAATGGAGGGGCAGGAAAAAACAACAACAAAAACCAAGCTGTGGGAGTTAAGCCATCGCGGAAATCAAGAAATCAGCCACCTGAGCACGGTGGCGAGGAGAGCTCTGAAACAGCAGTCCTTAGCCTTCCAAACACTGTGACCCTTTAATACAGTTCCTCATGCTGTGGTGACCCCCAACCATAACACTATTTCTGCTGCATTATTTCTTCATAACTCTGATTTTGCTACTATTGTGAATCATATTCTGCTACTGTCGTGAGTCATGGCCTAAATATCTGTGTTTTCTGCTGGTCTTAGGTGACCCCTGTGAAAGGGTTGCTTGACCCCCCCCCAACCACAGGTTGAGAACTACCGCTTTGGTGATGGACTAAGGAAATCCTGTGTACCCAGAGAAAACGCACCGAAAGTGCACTAAGTTCTGTGCAGCATCTGAAGAGAGGGGCAAAACCAAAACAAAACACAAGAAGCTAAAGCTAGACTGTAGGCAGATGCTTCCTGTCCCAGACAGCTGACGCGGGGGCTTAATATTACTTATAAATGATGAGCCAATAGCTCAGGCTTGTTACTAACTAGCTCTTACATTTTAAGTCAACCCATACTCCTTATTTATTCTCTGCCACGTTGTGGTACCTTTATCAGCATGGCACATTCGTCTCCTGCTCCCTCTCTGTTTACTGACTCCTCTGGCTCCGCCCTTCATCATCCCAGCATTCTCAGTTTGGCTCTCCTGCCTAACTTTTTCCTGTTCACCTATTGGCCGGTCACCTTGTTGATTAAACCCCAATCACAGCAACATATACTCACCCAGTGTAAAGGAATATTCCACAGCATTGGACTTTCCCGAGTCAGGATTCAGTCAAACCTCACGGTGGGTCACAGGGGCTGCACTGGGGTCAGGAATGGGAAGGACAAGGACATCATCTCCTTGAAGGGATAATTATCCCACCCGTCTCCTTAGAGTAGCTTAACGTGAGACCAACTTCCTAGGTGCACTGGCTTGTTTTGTCCACTTGACAGAAGCCAGACTCATTTTGGAAAAGGAACTTCATTGACCTGTACAAAAGTCTGTGGTACATTTTCTCAGTTGACTATTGATAGGCTAGAGCCCGCTAACCGTGGGCAGGGCCACCCTTGGGCTGCTGGTCCTGGGCACAGTTAGCAATCAGGCTGAACTAGGCGGTAAGCAGCACCCCTCCGAGGCCTCCCGCCCTGACTTCTCTGGATGACGGACTGCGAGCTGGAAGGTGAAATAAAACCATTCCACTCTGTGATGGTTTGAAGGACAGTGCCCTCCCCCCTAAAAAGAGTGGCGCTCTTAGGAGGTGCAGCCTCGTTGGAGGAAGTGTGTCACTGTGGGGAGAGGCTGTTGGTGAAGGAACCACCAAACTCCAGCAGAGATGCCCCAGCATTTTGGAGATGCCAACCCCGGGTAGAGCAGCAGCTGTGGACCGGAACCAAATTCTAGGACAGGCTCCAAAGCTACACAGAGAAACCCTGTCTTGAAAAACAAACAAACAAAACCAAAACAAAGAGAAGTCTCCGTGTGGTTATTTGGAACCTGGCTGGTGGGGCAGAAAAACCCATCTACACCCAGGATCTATCCTGAGACCAAAGATGTCTTAGGAGCCCAATGGGCTGTGTTTGCTGGACCGAATCCAAGGACAGGGGCTCTGTCCCTGAGGACAGTGGACACAGTCCTGAGCACCCTGGCTGCAGCTGGCACAGGTGGGAACTAGGAACAGTCTGTGGGAGTCTGGGAGCTATGGAAAGGGTTAGGGTCTTCTGAGATGCCTCCCGGAAGAGCCCCCCAACCCCCACATCAGGAGCCAGAAGGATGAGGGAAGGGCTACAAACTGACTTCCTCCCTTCCCTTTCTGATCCTCCTTCCTCCACCTCCCCTCTTTTCTCCCCCCCCCCCACTTTAGTAATTAGTGACCATGGGCAAAGAGTTTCAACTCTGTGGCCTTAGTTTCCTCATTTGTAAAATAGCAGTAAAAATCACATCTCTGCGCAGACTGA